GATTTAGCAAACAGACTTAAAAGCAGCTATTATAAATTCTAAGAAATGAAGGTAAGCATAATATTAGTGAATAAAGGATCCCAAAAGAAAAATGGAAACTGTATTTTTAAAAGAAAACAAAAAGAAATTCAAAAGTTAAAAATTACGGTAACTGAGGGGCGCCTGGGTGGCTTGGTGGGTTAAAGCCTCTGCCTTCAGCCCAGGTCATGATCTCGGAGTCCTGGGATCGAGCTCCACATCGGGCTCTCTGCTCAGCAGGGAGCCTGCTTCCCCCCCCCCCCCGCTCTCTCTCTCTGCCTGCCTCTCTGCCTACTTAGGATCTCTGTCAAATAAATAAAATCTTTAAAAAAAAAAAAAAAAGTACCGTAACTGAAATGAAAATTTTACTAAATGGTTTAACAGAAATTGAGATAGCAGAAAAATGATTCAAGTTGAAGACAGATCAATAGAAATTACTCAGTTTGAAGAACAGAGAGAGAAAAGACTGGAAAAAATGCATAGTGTCTCAGTATAAAACAATATCAAACAGTTCAACATGGAGTTGTGAGTCCTAAAGAGTGAGAAAGAGGCAAAAAAGTATTTAAAGAAATAATGGCCGGAAATTTCCCAAATTTGGTGGAAAATGTTAATTTACAGATCCAAAAAGCCTAAAGAACCCCGAGTTCTTTACAAAACTACGCGGAGTTCATATGGTCAAATTGATAAAAGAGGAAGACAAAAAGTTTTAAAAGCAGCAAGAGAAGGAATATACATACAGGGAAATGTACATACAGGGAAACCATGCAAGCTAATTGTTGTTTAACAATGTTGCAAGGTACAAAATAAACGTACAGAGATAAGCTGTATTTCTTTATGGTAATTAGATACAATATCAACTGCAATGCCATGCCAATTACAATCATTGTAAAAATGAAAGGTATAAGTCTAACAAAACATATACAGGACTTACATGCGGCAAACTTTATGAAAGAAACCAAGTATCTAAATAGTTGTAACAAGTTTATCAATTGGAAGGCTCAAAATAGAGGAGATGTTGATTCTCTCTACATTGACACACAGGTTTCACATATGTCCCAACAAGATTTTTTGTAGATCTACACAAAATTATTCTAATATATAGAAAGACAAAAGTACTAGAATAGCTAAAACAATTTTGAAAAAGAATAAAATGGAAAGACTCAGTCTGATTTCAAAACTTACTATATTGCTGTACTAATCAAAACTATGTGATATTGGCAAAGGTATAGACATATCAATGGAACAGAGTATAAAATTCAGACCAACACAAGTATGCCCAACTAATTTTTTACAAAGATACAAGAGAACTTCAGAAAGATAAGGTAACTTTTTGAACAAATGATGCTGGAGCAATTTGACATCCGTAGATTTTTTTTTTTTTTAAATGAATCTCAATATAAAGCTCTCATCTTAGACAAAAATTAACTCAAACTATAAAACTCTACAACTTAGGGGGGAAAAATGTAGGAAATCATAGGAGGGATCTAGGGGTAGGCAGTGTTCTTAGACTTGACACCAAAAGCGTACTTTATAAAAGGAAAAATTAATAAGTTGGATTTCATCCAAACTAAAAAATTCTGCTCTGGGAAAGACATTGCTCAGAGGATGAAAAGACAAATTACAGACTGGGAGAAAAACTTGCAAACCACATATCTGGGAGGGGGTGGGGGACTACTAAAATAAAAAACTTTCAAAACAGAATTAAAAAACATAAAAAGTCCAATTAAAAAATGAGCCTGGCTGGCTCAGCCAGTTAAGCATCTGCCTTCAGCTCAGGTCCTGATCCCAGGGTCCTGGGATGGAGTCCCGCACTGGACGCCTTGCTTAGTGGGGAGCCTGCTTCTCCCCCTGCCTTCCGCTCCCCCACTTACGCTCGCTGTCTCCCGCTCTCTCTGTGTGTGTCAAATAAATAAAATCTAAAAAAAAAAAAAAAAATTGGCAAGAGACATGCAGATATTTCATTGTAGAGCATATACAGATGGCAATTTAGTACATGAAAAGATGTTTTAACATCATAAGCCATTAGAGAAATGCAATTAAAACCACAAGATAACCATGTATTAGAACAGCTAAAATAAATTAGTGACACCAAATTCTAGTAAGGATGCAGAGACACTGGATCACTCATACATGTCGTAATAGTAATTCTGGATCACATTTAGCCATTTCTTTAAAAACTAAACATGCAACTACCACACAGCCCAGTGAATTGCATCTCTGGGCATTTATGCCAAAGAAATGAAGACTTACGCTCACACAAAACTTGTACGCTGATGTGTATAGCAGTGTTATTCATAGTAGCCAAAAATGGAAATAAGCTAGATATCTTTTAATGAATGAATAGTTAAACGAAGTGTGGCACATCCATACCACAGAATACTACTAAGGAACCAGAAGGAATGAACTGTCCATAAAACAGCCCACGTGACTCTCCAGAAAATTAGGCTGAGTGAAAAAAGCCAATACACAAAGGTACATACTATCTGATTCTATTTGTGTAACATTTTTGAAATGACAAAATGGAAATGGAAAACAAATTTGTGGTTGCTGGGTAATTAAAGAGGAGTTGGAGTTGAGAGGAGGGAAGTGGGCTACACAAAGGCAACATGAAGGATTCTTGTAGTGACGGAAATGTTCTGTATCTTGACTCTTATCAGTGTCAGTACCCTGGGTATGATACTGTACTATAAATTTGCAAGATGTTTCCATTGGGAAAAGCTGGGTGAAGGGTAATTGAGATCTATTTTTTTATAACCACGTGCGAATCTCCAGTTATCTCAAAATGTTTAATTAAAAAAGCAATTGCTGAATTCCCATCTTTCTGGTTTCCATCAGAAAACCGCAGAATGGCATATTTAAACCACAGTAGACCTTTTGCAAATTCTTGACTTGAAATCTACCACTAAACCTCAGCCGGGTGCATGTGTTTTTCCAGACTATGGGTTTTTTAATGGCGTTCAGCTAGTAATGAAGAGATAATTTCCTGATCTGGACTACCCTTGTTATAAAGAAGCAATAGGGGTGATGCTCACAGTTGTGTTGGTGATGATAGTGACAAAAGTTCAGTATAAAACTTAGTGACTTCGCTAGTATCTCATACTGTTTTTTTTCCTTTTTTACCACATCTCAGGAAGTTTGATATTGTTACTATTTCTTTTGAAAATATATACTTATTGTTCATCTGCAACTAACTTGATAAGAGCAAACCTGATTTATAGCTAAGTGATAAAAAGTGAAAGTAAGTTGTTTAAAACAAGGTCATGCTTGCTGTGTGCAGACAACCTTCACTTCTTCTTGTGGTTATTCCTCTCTCTCTGCCTGTTATGGAGCCATGATAACATGTCAGTCACCTTTAGAAAGTCAGCCATTTCCACTCCACAGTTGTTGTGTTTGTTGTACCGAGACATGAAAACTGAGGATAATAGAAATGGCTCTCTGTGTGTCCTCTCTCTCCAAGGCCTGTCCTTTATTCCAGCATACTAAACTGAAGTGAACTTTTAAATGAGTGAGATAGAACCTCTTCCCTCTTCATATACTTGTTCCAGCTTTTCCACCAATGAAAATGGGAAAACTAAGGGTTAGGAGTCCTGCCAAGTCAAAAATCTCCCTAGGTCTGAGCCTCTTCTTGGTTGCTAATTACATCTTCCAATAATGCTGAGTTACAGTGAACGTATGTAATTAAAGAAGAGCTAAAGCTTGGAGCTATATTTTATTCACTCTGTATTCAGGCAGAGGTCATTTAGGGGAGGAAACAGTTAAGTCAGCATGGCCCAATACACCTAATGTTCTTCTTCTTAATATTGTTTTAACCAGTGGCTTAAAGAATTAGTCCATAGAGGGGCGCCTGGGTGGCTCAGTGATTTAAGCCTCTGCCTTCAGCTCAGGTCATGGTCTCAGGGTCCTGGGATCGAGCCCCGCATCGGGCTCTCTGCTCAGCAGGGAGTCTGCTTCCCCCTCTCTCTACCTGCCTCTCTGCCTACTTATGATCTCTGTCAAATAAATAAATAAAATCTTAAAAAAAAAAAAAAAGAATTAGTCTATAGAAATACTGTTTGGTACCACTGGTACCATTTTGTGTTGGTTCCAACTGTAAATATTAATGCCATTTCTTCCTCCTTACCACTTTTGTCTCTTGTCACCCAAAAATCTCCATCTTCTTTTCAACTTTTCTTTAGTCCTACTACTCTATCTCTGTTACACCTAACCTGGTTTATTTTAAACTGGAAGGACTTGGCCCGTTATACCCTTCAAGTAACTGTTATGTACAAGTGATCTTCCTTTTCCTTGCAAGGACCCTGTTCTTAACACCATTGTGGTAGGCTGGAACATGCCAGCATCTGCTGCTGAGGCGGTGAGTTCTCCATAGAACTGAGAGGACAAGAGGAAGGAATAGTAGTACGTTTCTTCTTGACTTATTCAGTAGTTGGGGGGGATTAGAGTTAGAGAATGATGTTTTAGAAGAGGGTAGGTTTATGTGATCTTGCTGGGGTTTTTTGTTGTTGTTTTTCTTTGGTCTGCTTTTGAAAAGGAAGGAAAAACTTTTTTAGTTCCTATCCTGAATCTGGTCCTTTAGGTGTGTTGACTATTTTGTCCTTAAATGATAACAGTAATAATTATTAATATATGTGTAGTGCCTTTTAGTTGATAACAAGAATTCTTATATATGATTTCAGTAATCTTCACACCTACCAGAGATGAATAAATAGAAACTCTGAAGTCTCACAGCTTCTCAGTTAGAACCAGTCTCCACATTTACTGTCTTCTCCAAACTCTGTGCTCCTTTGCCTAGGCCACATTGCTTCTTGGGAGTGTATAGTAGCCCTTCGGTTGTAAACAGTAGAAAAGCGAGACTCCAGAGTTTGCATTCTTTCCTGAACAGCTCAGCAAAGGAAAGGGGCACTTATGAGACTAGAAGGTGGATGAGAACAGACCATGAGGCTCCAAGCTCCCTTGCTGAGGTTTTATCTTTTCTTTCATTTCAGGATGGCAATGACACGGAGAACTATGTTCCAGAAGGGGGAGGTGCATAACAAACCATCGGGATTCTGGGGAATGATAAAAAGTGTTACCACTTCAGCACCAGGAAGTGAAAGTATCCTTTATCATTCTGTTTGATTCTTTTTCTCAACTCTGAACCAAAGGCCAGAAGAAAAAAGTAGTATTGGGATGGTCTCTCCTACGGTACTTGACTACATCAGAGTCCAGCTGGCCAGGGCTAGGCTTAGGAAATACGGAGTCATCTTTCCAACACCTCTAAAAGATCATAAAACCATTGTCTTTGAGCTGAAGTCCTAAAAGTCACTCTTTCCATTTTACAGATGAGAAAACAGACCCAGAGAGGTTAACTCACACTGTGGTTTGTGGCAAAGACAGGACCTCCTCTTAGTTCTTTCCACTACACTCTTCTATTTCCCGGGTCTGAACAAGCAGCATAAAACACAATGGCTTCCTAAAATGGATGGCTTGTATATGTATGGGATGGTAAGGGCCTATTTCTAAAGCGGTCAGTATTTTTTTTTTTTTTTTAAAGATCTTATTTATGTGACAGAGAGGGATCAGAAGTAGGCAGAGCAGCAGGCAGAGAGAGAGGGGGAAGCAGGCTCCCCGATGAGCAGAGAGCCCGATGCAGGGCTCAATCCCAGGACCTTAAGATCATGACCTGAGCAGAAGGCAGAGGCTTAACCCACTGAGCCACCCAGGTGCCCCTCAGTAAGTATTTCTAAACAAATTTTAAGCAGCGCTGTATCTTCAGTGACTTTAGGTTTAAAGAATTAGGGAGAGGGGCGCCTGGGTGGCTCAGTGGGTTAAAGCGTCTGCCTTCGGCTCAGGTCATGATCCCAGGGTTCTGGGATCGAGCCCCGAGTCGGGCTCTCTGCTCAGCAGGGAGCCTGCTTCCCCCCCACCCCCCGCCTGCCTCTCTGCCTACTCGTGATCTCTGTCTGTCAAATAAATAAATAAAATCTTTATTAAAAAAAAAAAAAAAGAATTAGGGAGATTGGGTTAAAGATTGTTCTTGGCCCAGCTGGTTGCAGTGTTAAACTGATATCCAAATTGAGAAACAACATCTCTTTGTGGCTACCGGGCTATTAAGTCAAAACTTGGGGCACCTGGAGGAGATAGCATATTCCTGCTTGCTTCCTTCCCCTGCCTGTGGAAGTACAAATTCCCTTTTGCTTCAACTCTAGGAAAAGGATGTATTCGGTTCTTGCTATAAATTGTGGCATATCTTTCTGGTGTCAAATGTAGGTAAGATTTAGAGCAAAGAAAGGCAGGGTGACATGACCATGAGAGAGGAAAGAAAGGATTACATTGAATTCATTTAATCTAGAAACATTTATTTCACATCTCCCATTTCCAGGCAGAGTCCTAAGGGATAAAATGATGAACAGAGTATACTCTTTTTTTCTCAAGAAGCTGACTGTCTAATTACAGGAGAGGCAGACATGGAACTAGTTAAAACCTGTTGTTTGACTGCCTGAACCATGAGAATAGCAGCCTTCCTTATTGAGGAAGGAGCAGAAGGACACTCAGTAATTTGAGTACTATAGGCATACCCCAGAGATGTTACAGTTTTGGTTCCAGAACATCACAAAAAGTGGCTATCACATTGAAGGGAGTCAGATGGATACTTTGGTTTCCCAGTACATATAGAACTTATATTTATGCTGTATCCTATTGAGTGTATAAGAGCATTCTTTTTTAAAAAGTGTATAAAAAAGGCTAACCATCATCTGAACTTCCAGTGAGTGGTAATTACTGATCACAAATCCCCATTAAAAAATATAATAATAATAATAATAATGATGATGATGAAAAAGTTTGAAATAAGGTGAGAACTATCAAAATGTGACACAGAGACATATATGGCACCACTAGACTTGCCCAACGCAGGATTGCCACAACCTCCAATTTGTTTAAAAAAAAAAAAAATCTATGGAGTACCACAGAATGAGGTATCCATATAGTGAGAAAAATCAGAGTAGGGAGGATTTGGATCAAAGTGAATCTTCCAGCTTGGGTTGTCTTCACTATTTTTGTTACTTAAACGTCCATAAAAGCCAAATTTTAGGTTTAAACTGTCTTTATGACAGTAAGTCAACTCAGCAAAAGTATCAGGATTATTTCACTTCTCTGAGGCCCTGTCTCCTAAATGGAGAAACTAATAGGACCTCAGTAAGTTCTTGGAAAGTAGCATAGTGTAATGGAAAGAACAGGCCTTGGAGGAGAGCAGATCTGACTTTGCATCCACACCTGTTAGCTGCATGACTTTGAGCAAGTTACTGGACTCTCTGAGCTTTGCTTTCCTTATCTGCAAAATGGATAATAATACCTATCTCATGAGACTGTTGGGAGTATAATAGAAGATAATGTCTATAAAGAACTAAAAAGTCATATTTATAAATCCCAGCCTGTATTGGAACTCAGTAGTATTAGTTCCCTTTCCTAATGTTACATTTATTCAGATAAGGGGGAAATTATATTGTATTATAGGTGTTTTACTGTGTAACTATTTGAGATTTCAAAATTATATTTGACCTTAACTGATCAAAGAAAAGCAACAGTGAACAAAGCCATCTGTCTGAGCCACTTGAACTAGTGAGAAACTGAGTGGTATTTGTTTGATAATGGAGAAACTTTTACACACCTGTGTTGGAGGTTGGGAAAATTGCTCTAAAGGAGTACTGTTGTCCATGAAGCAGGAAATTGAATATATAGGCAGTTCCTAAGATCTACTGTAGGAAAAACCAAAAGCATATGCTTTCTTCATTACTATTTCTTGAAACTTCTATGTGTTTTAAGCCTTGATGCCCATTTTGTGCCAGATCTTACTCTTATTCAACAGGAAGTGGACGCTTTGGAAGAACTAAGCAGGCAGCTTTTTCTGGAAACAGCTGATCTATATGCTACCAAGGTACAAGGCAAAGAAACAAAAGTATGATTTTTACCAGTTTTTAACCAGAAGAAAGAACAAGACTAAATAGCTTTTTAGTGTCCTCTATGGTCAAGCAGTGTGAGAGTGACCTCACAGCTCCAGTATCAGCCATGAAGCATTAGGAGTCTGTATCCTTTTTGACATTGCTCCAACCCCCAGCAAAATTCATACTGGAACACTCAATAATAGAAATTAGTAGGATAATCAAGAGGTTTTTCAACTTCAGAAAGTGGCACACACCACTTCCTACTGATTCAGGGTCAAGATGGTAGCTCCTCTGATTGCGTTTTATTTCTTATAAATTAGTGATATTTTAAGAGCAATGCCATGATCTAGCTGTGTTTTAAAAGATCCAGATTAAGGGGCACCTGGGTGGCTCAGTTAGTTGAGTGTCCAACTCTTGATTTTGGCTCAGGTTATGATCTCAATGTCTTGAGATTCATCCCTGCATCAGGCTCTGCACTGGTTGTAGAGCCTGCTTAAGCTTCTCTCTATCCCTCTGCCCCTCCACCCCCCACCAGCCAGGTTTTTTTTCTCTCTCTTAAAAAAAAAAAAAGGAAAGGATCCAGATCAAGAAGTGACCTAACTATAAGAAGTAGCTTTATATCTAAAATGCAATATAACTTAAATATGCAAAATCTATTAGTTAAGTTCATTCAGACTATTTTTATCCTTTTCAAGGATCACTTCATAGGAATAGCCATATAGGATAGAGATTAACATGGGCTTTGAAGACAGACCTGAGCATAAATTCCTCTACTCACTAGCTGTGTGACCTTGGGCAAGTTATCCAACCCCTGTAAGCCTTAGTTTTCTCATGTGTACTATTAAGATAATAGAACATATCACAGTTGCTATAAAAATTAAAGTAGATAATGTATGTAAGGTGTTTTTCCCAACTTCAGGCTTAAAGTTAGCATTCAATAAATGTTGCCTACTAGTATTATTTTAAGATTAATATCATGTGTGGGTTTTTCACTCCGGCAAAACAGTAATTTCATAGAAGCAGGAATGTTTTGGTTGAGTATTAGTTTACATTTTGCTGAGACTAACAGTGTTTTGTTGTTTGTTTTCCCTCAGGAGAGAATAGAATATTCCAAAACTTTCAAAGGGAAATACTTTAATTTTCTGGGTTACTTTTTCTCTATTTACTGTGTTTGGAAAATTTTCATGGTAAGTATATTAGTTTTGGCTGTTAGGGTTGAGGTTATTTTCCCTGCTAATGGCAGAGAGAAAAGTGAGTTTGACTGAGGCACTAAACTAAATTCCAAATCCAATCAAGTCAACACAGAATGCTGTCTTTCACATCCTTGAGCCTGACTCCTCCCCCTCTCTTTTTTAGGTTACCTAGACATTGCATTTTTCTTCATTCAGAAATCATTAATAAGATATAGTTTATAAACTATATGAAGGGAATACAGAAATTTCTTATTTTATACTCCGTTTTCCGTACTACCCTTGAGTATATCTATGTGACACAATCCCTATCTTTAGCTCAGAACAGAAGTTAACTCTCCTTTTTAGTAATCTATATATACCTTAAAAAGTTCAATCTAAGTTCTTTAAGTAAAACATTTATATTTCTGGAAATAAATTCATTTTAGATGCTTATAGCTCTCATTCTTTTGTGGCTTTCTCTTAATGCTCTATTCTTTATCTTCATTTTATGTACTCTTCTTATGACTCATCTGTAGATATTCATGGGTTTCAGTGTGATTACAGAAAAGACTAATTGGACTTTCTGGTTCTGTGACTCTCCGGGGGCTGTGTTTGCATAAAGAAGAGCTTTATCAGCTTGTTAATTTTGGCCACTATAGATGAATGAAAGATTCTGGATTTTAATAGATCTAATATTATAATAAATTGATGTCAATACCTATTCAGAGAACAATATTTAAATCTTAATTCATACAGTGGGAGAAGATAAATGAAGATAGTATGTTCAGTTAGCTAAGCTACTAAAAAGTTTTTCCTGAGTTGTAGACTTTAAGGGAGTATATCCTTTTTTAACAGCTTTATTGACGTTTAATAAACTGCACATATTTTAAGGGTATAGTTGGGTAAGTTTTGACAGATGTGTACACCTGTTGCAACAACTGTCACCACCCTTAAGATAGTGACCATATCCATCCATCACTTCCAAAAAGTTTCTTGTGTCCCCTTATAATGTCTCTTGCATTCATCCCCAGTCAACCACCAATCTGCTTTCATTATACATTAGTTTATATTTTCTAGAACTTTATATAAATGAAATCTTAGAGTAGATACCCTTTTTCTGACAACTTCTACTCAGCAGAATTATCTTACGTTTCATTCATGTTATCGTGCGATCAGTAGTTTATTCCTTCTCATGGCTGAGTAGTATTCTGTTGTATGATTATACCACATTTTGTTTATCTTTTCACCTGCTGATGGGTATTTGTTTCTAGTTTGGCGATATTACAAGTAAAGCTGCTTATGAACATTTGTATACAGGTTTCTATGTGGACATGTGCTGTCTTTCCTCTTAGGAGAAAACACTTCGGTATAGCATGGCTAGGTCACATGGCAGATGGATGTTAAACCTTTGAAGAAATGGATAAACTTTTCCAAAGGAGGTTGTACCATTTTACATCCCCACCTGCATTGTCTGAGAGTTTCATTTACTCCACATCCTTGCTCACATTTTGTAGTCAGTATTTTAAATTTTAGACATTCTAGTAGATGTAAGCTGATACTGATTGCTTAATTTGCATTTCCCTAATGCCTAATGGTGCTAAACAACTTTTGATGTGCTGATTTGCCACCTGTATATTTTGGAGGGAGGAGGAAGATAGAGCTATTCAGATTTGTTGCCCAGTTTTTAAACTAGGATTTCTTTTCATTGGGTTTTGCAAGGTTTTCACTATATTCTGGAAACCCTTTATCAAATATGTGATTTTCAGATATTCTCTCCCAGTCACTAGCTTAGCTTGTCATTTTGTGTTGTACCTAAGAAATCTTGGCTAACCCAAGGTCACCAAGATTTTTTTTACTCTATAAATTTTATAGTTTGAGATTTTTACATTTCAGCACATGATCCATCTGTAGTTAATTTCCTCAGACAGTGTTGGAATGTGGATCTGAGTTCATTTTTTTCATATAGATATCCACTTGTTCTGGCACCATTTGCTGAAAAGATTATCCTTTCTCATTCAGTTGTCTTTGCAATTTTGTCAAAACCTAATTGCCCGCATATGGGTGGGTCTGTATCTGTACTCTGTTCTTTCCTACTGTTATGTATGTCTCCCTTTATTTATGCCAATACCACTCTGTCTTGAAATAAGTCTTTTTTTTTTTTAAGATTTTATTTATTTATTTGACAGACAGAGATTACAAGTAGGCGGAGAGGCAGGCAGGGAGAGAAGGGGAAGCAGTCTCCCTGCCAAGCAGAGAGCCCGATGCGGGGCTCGATCCCAGAACCCTGGGATCATGACCTGAGCCGAAGACAGAGGCTTTAACCCACTGAGCCACCCAGGCACCCCGAAATAAGTCTTGAAATCAAATCATTTAAGTACTCTTTCTTCTTATTTAAACTTGTTTTGGCCATTCTGTGTCTTTGCTTTTCCATATGAATTTTAGAAGCTGCTTTTTAATGCTGCTGAATACAAAATACTTGCTGAAATACGTATTAGAATGTCAAATCTTCAGATCAGTTTGAAGAGAAGTGACATCTTAATATCGAGTCTTGCATTTGATGAGCACAGTGTAACTCTTCATTTATGTAGATCTTCTTTAGTTTCACTCAAAGATATTTAGGTTTTAGTGTATAGATCTTTTATATCTTTCATTAGATTTATCTTAACTATTTAATATTTTTGATGCTATTATAAATAGGACTGTTTTTATAATTTCAGATCCTGAATGTTACTAGTATATAGATACACAGTTGATTCTTATATTCCACAACCTTGCTAAATCCCGTTATTCTAAGAGCTTTTCATAGATTTCATAGGATTTTTTCTACGTAGACAATCAGATCTCTGCAAATGAAGGGTTTTACTTCCATGTTTCCTATCTGGATGCCTTTTATTTCTTCCCTTTCTTTCCCTTCCTTTTCTGTCCTATCCCATCTTTCTTCTTTCTTCTCCTCCTTTAGCCTTATTGCACTGACCAAAACCCCTGTACAAAATTAAACAGAAGTGGTAAGAGCAGTCATCCTGATCTTGTTAAATATGGTATTAGCGGTTGGCTTTTCCTAGACTCCATTTAGCAGGTTGAGGAAGTTACTCCTACTCATAGTTTATTGAGTGTTTTTAATCATGAAAGTGTGTTTGATTTTTGTCAAATGCTATTTCTGCATCTTTTGAGAAGAGCACATGACTTTTCCTTTTTATTCAGCTGGTATAGTGAGTTACATTGGTTAATTTTTTAATATTAAACTGGCCTTGAATTCCTATAATAAACCTTACTTGGCCATGGTGTATGTTGTTGGATTTAACTTAATATTATTTTCTTAAGAATTTTTGCATCAGTGTTAATGAGAAATATCAGAGTATAGTTTTTTTGTAATGTCTTTGGCTTTGGTGTCAGAATAACCTTAGAGGTTGAGAAGGATTTCTTCCTCTTCCAATTAGTGGAAGAGTTTATGTGGAATTATTATAATTTCTTTCTTAAACATTTGGTGGAATTCACCAGTGAAGGCATCTAGACCTAGAGTCTTCTTTGCAGGAAAATCATTTAACTACAGATTTAGTTTCTTTAATAGACTATAAGGTTTATTCAGGTTATATATTTCTTGAGTGAGCTTTTGTAGTTTCTGTTTTTCAAGGAATTTGTCCATTTTTATTGAAGTCAGATTTATTTGCATAAAATTGCTCTTAATATTCCCTTAGTATCCTTTCAATATCTATAAAATCTGTAGTGATATCACCCCTCTCCTTTTTGTATAACACCTTTATTGAGATAGTCACATACAAAATAACCCATTTCATGTATAGTTTGGTGGTTTTTAATATATTCACAGAGTTGTGCACACAATAATGTCACCCCAAAAGAAATCCCATACTCATTAGCAGTTATTCCTTATTTCTTCTCTAGCCTTAGGCAGGCACTAATCTATTTTATGTCTCTATAGATTTTCTATTCTGGACATTTCATGTACATTGAATCACACAACATGTGGTCTTTTGTGATTGGCTTCTTAGTAAATGTTTTTAAGATTCATCTATATTGTAGCCTCTAGCAACACTTCATTCCTTTCTATAGATGAATAACATTCTTTCCATTATATAGATATACCACATTTTATTTATCCATCCATTAGTTGAGAAGCATTTGGGTGGTTTCCACTTTTTGGCCATTATAAATAATGCTGTTGTGAGCATTTTTTGATAAATTTGTATGGGGATAATATGTTTTCATTTCCCTTAGGTGCATGCCTGTGAAAGCAAAATTGCTGGGTCATATGCTACCTGTTTGTTTAACCTTTTGATAAACTGCCAGTCTGCCAGACTCTTTTCCCAAGCAGCTGCACCTGTTTACATTCCCACTGGCAGTGTAACAGTTGTCATTTCTCCACAGCCTCACCAGCACTTATTTATCTTTTTATTAGAGTCATCCTGGTGGCTGAAGTGGTATCTCATTCTTGATATCGGTAATTTGTGTCTTGTCTTTTTTTTTTCAGATCAGTCTGGATCAAGGTTTATCAATTTTATTGAACGCTTCAAAGAACCAGCTTTTGGATTAATTGATTTTCTATATTGTTTCTCTGTGTTCTATTTTATCAATTTCTGCTCTGATCCTTATAATTTGTCTTCTTCTGCTTGTTTTGGGTCTTTCTAATTTTGTAAAGTACAAGCTCATTGATTCAAAACTTTTAATATAGTTGTTTTCATGCTATAGATTTCTTGCTAAGCATCTCACAAAATATAACGTTTCTGATGTGTTGTATTTTTATTTCATTCAGTTCAAAATAATTCTCATTTTTCTTCTTTGACTCATGGATTATTTAGAAGTATGTTATTAAATATTTGGGGATCTTCTGAATTTCCCTCTATAATTGATTTCTAATTTAATTCCATGTGATCTGAGAACAGATTTAGTATGATTTAAATTTCTTCAAATTTTTTGAGATTTGTTTTCTGCTCCTGTTGGCTGGAATGTTGTATAAATGTCAATTAGGTCAAATTAGTTGATAGTATTGTTAAAGTTTTCTATATCCTTTTTAATTTTCTGATTTATCAGTTGTTTCATCAGTGATGAAATTTCAAACCATTGTTGTGGATTTGTCTTTTTAGTTCTGTCAGTTTTTGCTTTGTATATTTTTTTTACCCAACTATAATTAATATACAATGTTAATTTCAGGTGTACAGCATAGTGATTCAACAATTCTATACATTACAGAGGGCTCACTATAAGTGTAGTCACCATCTGTCACCATACAGTGTTATTTTAATATTGACTATTCTCTGTGCTGTACATTTCATCTCCATGACTGAAAGTTTGTGCCTCTTAATCCACTTTATCCATTGCACCCATCCTTTTACTCACTTCCCCTCTGACCAGTTTGTTCTCTGTATTTAAGAGTCTGTTTGCTTGTTTCTTTGTTCATTTGTTTTGTTTTTAAGATCCTGTTTATAAGTGAAATCATGTGTTGTCTTTCCTTGTCTGACTTATTTCAGTTAGCATAGTACCCTTTAACACTGTTAAAATGGCAAGCTCACATTCTTTTTTATAGCTGAGTAATGTTCCATTGCATATATGCACCACATCTTTTTATGCGTTCAACTATCAGTGAACCCTTGTGTTGCCTCTATATCTCAGCTATTGTAAATAATGCTGTTGTAAACATAGGGGTGCATAGAGCTTTTCAAATTAGTGTTTTCATATTCTTTTAGTAAATACCCAGTAGTGGGATTACCTGAGCATGTATTTTTCTGTTCTGTTCCATTGATCTCTATGTCTGCTTTTATGCCAGTCCCATACTGTTTTGGTCACTACACCTTTAAAGTATATCTTGAACTCCAGGACTATGAGACTTCCAGCTTTGTTCTTTTTCAAGATTGTTTTGGCTATTTGGGGTCTTTTGTGGCTCCATACAAATTTTAGGGTTATTCATTCTAGTTCTGTGAAAAATGCTATGGGTAATTAGGTAGGGATTGTATGGAATCTGTAGATTGCTTTCGGTGGTATGGACATTTTTATCAATATTAATTCTTCCAGGCCATGAGAACAGAGTATCTTTCCATTTGTTCATGTTTGCCTTCAATTTCTCTCAGTATTTTATAGTTTTTAGGGTAATCGGTCTTTCACCTCCTAGGGTAAGTTTGTTCTTAGATCATCTTTTTGGTGCAGTTGTAAATGGGATTGTTTTCTTAATTTCTGGTATTTAGTTATTAGTATGTAGAAGTGCAACTGATTTTTGTATATTAATTTTGTATCCTACAACTTTACTGAATTCATTTATCAGTTCTAATAGTTTTTGGTGGAGTTTCTAGGTTTTTCTATATTATCATGTTATCTGCAAATAGCAAGTTTAACATCCTTGTCATTCTGAATGCTGTTTTTTTTTCCTTGTCTGACTGCTGCAACTAGGACTTTCAGTATTATGTTGAATAAAAGTGGTAAGAGTGAATGTCCATGTCTTCTTCCTGATCTTAGAGGAAGAGCTCTCAGTTTTTCACAAATGAGTGTGATGCTTATTTTCACCAGTGAACATTTTTCATATATGGCCTTTATTATGCTGACATGTCTTTCGTTAAACCCACTTTGTTCCCTCTAAATCCACTTTATCATGAATGGATGTTGTATTTTGTCAAATGCTTTTTCTGCATCTATTTAGATGAGCATATGGTTTTTATACTTTATTTTGTTGATGTGGTTTATTGTGTTTGATTTGAGAATATTGAATTACCCTGTATTCCTGGAATAAATTCTACTTGATTGTGGTGAACATTTTTTTTAATGTATTATTGAATTCAGTTAGCTAAATTTTTTTTTCAGTTTGATAATTTTCTTAAGGAATTTTGCATTCATGTACATCAGAAATATTGGCTTAAAGTTTTCTTTTTTTGGTAATGTCTGTCTGGTTTTGGTATCAGGGAAATGTTGGCCTTGTAGAAAGAATTTGGAAGTTTCCTTCCTCTTCTATTTTTTTTTTTTTTTAATCATTTTGGGAGAGGGGTACCTGGGTGGCTCAGTTGGTTGAGCAGCCGACTTGGTTTTGGCTCAGGTCATGATCTCATGGGTCGTGAGATCGACCCCCGCATCAGGCTCAGTGCTCAGTGTGGAGTTCTGCTTGAGATTCTTTCCCTCCTCTTGTCCCTTCCTCCCCACCCCTCTCTCTAAAATAACTCAGTAAAAATTTTTTTAATCATTTGAGAAGAGTAGATATTAACTCTTCTTTCTTTATTTTGGTAGACCTGATACACAATGTTACATTAGTTTATGTACAAGCATGGAATGTCTTTCCATTTGTTTGATTCAGCTTCAGTTTCTTTCATCAGTGTTTTACAGTTTTCAGAGTATAGGTCTTTCACCTCTTTGGTATTAACTCTTTGTTAAATATTTGGTAGAATTTACCTGTGAAGTCATCTGATCCTGGACTTCTGTTTTGGGAAGTTTTTTTTTTTTATTATTACTGATTCCATTTCATTACTGGTAATTGCTGTGTTCAGATTTTCTATTTCTTCCTGATTCGGTTTTAGAAGATTATGTTTCTAAGAATCTGTATCTCCTAGGTTGTCCAGTTTGTTGACATACAATTTTTCATAATAGTCTCTTATAATCCTTTGTATTTCTGTGGTGTCGGTTGTTACTTCTCCTTTATTTCTGATTTTATTTGAGTCTTTTTCTTAATGAGTCTGGCTACAGATTTACAAATTTTCTTGATCTTTTCAGAGAAACAGGTTCTAGTTTCATTGATCCTTTTTTCTCTCTTTCATTTATTTCTGCTCTGATTTTATTACTTTTTCCCTCTACTAGCTTTGGGCTTTGGTCTTTCTCTAGCTTTTCTAGGTGTACAGTTAGGTTGTTTACTTGAGATTTTTCTTGTTTATTGAGTTAAGCCTTTGTTGCTATGGAATTCCCTCTTAGGGGCGCCTGGGTGGCTCAGTGAGTTAAAGCCTCTGCCTTCGGCTCTGGTCATGATCTCAGGTTCCTGGGATCGAGCCCCACATCAGGCTCTCTGCTCAGGAGAGAGCCTGCTTCCTCCTCTCTCTCTGCCTGCCTGTCTGCCTACTTGTGATCTCTGTCAAATAAATAAAATCTTAAAAAAAAAAAAAAAGAATTCCCTCTTAGAATGGCTTTTACTGCATCTCAAAGACTTTGAACCATTATATTTTCATTTTCATTTGTCTCCATGTATTTTTTTATTTCCTCCTTGATTTCTTGATTGACCCATTCATTGTTTAGTAGCATGTTATTTAGCTCCCATGTATTGGTATTCTTTTTAGATTTTTTTCTTGTGATTGAGTTTTAGTGTCCTACCATTGTGATTAGAAAAGATGCATGATGTGATTTCAGTCTTACTAAATTTATTGAGACTTGTTTTCTGGCCTAAGTTGTGATCTGTTCTGGGGAATGTTCAACATGGACTTGAAAAGAATGTGTATGCAGTGGTTTTTTGATGGAATGTTCAGTATGTATCTGTTAAGTCCATCTGTTCTAATGTGTTGTTCAAGCCACTGGTTCCTTACTGATTTCTGTCTGAATGATCTACACTGTTGTAAGTGGAATGTTACAGTTACCTGTTATTACATTGTATTATTGTCAACTTCTCCCTTTATGTTTACTTTTACCTATGAAATTTTTTCCTTTCATAACTTTCTTATAATTATGGCCTTTTCTTTCCACTCAAATAATTTCCATTTACATTTCTTTTTCTTTTTTTTTAAACATTTTATTTATTTATTTGACGAAGTGAGAGAGATCACAAGTAGGCAGAGAGGCAGGCAGAGAGAGAGGGGGAAGCAGGCTCCCCACCAAGCAGAGAGACCAATGCGGGGCTTGATCCCAGGACCCTGAGTCCATGACCTGAGCCCAAGGCAGAGGCCTAACCCTCTGAGCCACCCAGGCACCCCTACATTTCTTATAGGGCTGGTTTAGTTGTGATTAAATCCTTGAACTTTTGTCTGGGAAACTTTATCTCTCTTTTATTCTGAATGATAACTGCCTTGTAGAGTATTCTTGGTTGCAGGTCTTCCTTGCAGTACTTGAATATATCCTGCCACCCTCTTCTGGCCTGCAAAGTTTCTAGTATAAAATCAACTAATAACTTTCAACTAATAGCTATGGTATAAAATCAACTAATAACTATAGGGTTCCCTCATGGTAACTTGTTTTTTTCTCTTGCTGTTTTTAAAATTCTCGCTTTAGAGGCAGCTAGGTGGCTTACTCAGCTAAGCATCCAACTCTTGATTTTGGCTCAGGTCGTGATTTCAGGGTTTTGAAATTGAGCCCCACATTGAGGTCCCCAACTCAGCTTGAGTTTTCACTCCCTCTCCCTGACCCCAACCCCTGCTTGTGCGTGCTCTCGCTCTCTCTCAAAAATAAAATTCTCTATTTGTCATTATTTTCTGCCATTTTAATTATTACATATCTTGGTATGGACCTCTTTGTGTTAATCTTTTTAGGGGGTCTCTGTGCTTCCTGGATTTGGATACCTGTTTCCTTCTCCAGATTAGAGAAGTTTTCAGTTAGTATTTCTTATAAATTTTTGTCCCCTTCTCTCTCTTTTCTTCTTCTGGGATGCCTATAGTGTGGATGTTATAACACTTGATGGTGTTGCTGAGTTCCTTTAACCTGTTCCCTTTCATTATTTTTCTTTTTTCTTTTTGCTGTGCAGCATGATTGCTTTCCATTACTCTGTCTTCCAAATTGCTGATCCATTCTGCATTCTCTAATCTATTGTTGATTGCCTCTAGTATGTTTTTTTCAATTTTAGCTACTGAATTCTTCACCTTTGACTGGTTCATTTTTATATTGTTATTGAAGTTCTCATTAAATTCATCCATTTTTTTCTCAAGTCCATTGAGTATCTTTATGTCCATTACTTTGAATTCTTTATCCAAACATATTGCTTATCTCCATTTCATTAGATCTCCTGCTGTGATTTTGTCCTGTTCTTTCATTTAGGACATATTCCTCTATCTCCTCATTCTGTCTAGCTCTCTGTTCGTTTCTCTGTATTAGGGGTCAGCTATGATTCCTGGTCTTGAAAGTAGTGACCTTGTGTCTAGGTCCTATAGTGCCCTGTAGTGCAGTGCCCCCAAGCACTAGAACCAGGTGCTCCAAGAGGGTCTCTATGTGGGCAACATACACTCTACTGTTGTGGCTGAGTTGCATTTGCCTTAGTTGGCTACAGTGACCTGCTTTGCCTGCTGTGGACATACTGGGCAAGGTTTAGTCCATACATAGCCAACTGAGAGGCTCAGCTGTTGGAACTGTGGACACACTGATATGTAGGGTTATCTCACTCTCTCTCCAGGGCTGCAGTCACTTTTAGAGTGGTATGGGTCCCTGCTCAGGCTGCTTACAGGGTATAGGTCCCTGCTGAGGCTGTTTGCAGGGTGTGGTGGGGCAGGAGTGGTTTTGAAGGACCACCTGCTGAGGCAGGCATGTCCCCAGGTGAAAGTTGGGACAGGGCACTAGGAAGATATGTAGAGAGTATTAGTGCTAGTTCCCACAAGTGTCTGGCTTTCTAGGCTGGGGGAGGAGAAGAGAAATGGTGCCCACCAGCACTTTTGTTCTGGAAGTCTCCTGAAGAGAAGACTCCCTGGCCCTCCAGCACATGGTGAGATTAGTAAATGAATATCTTTTATATACCCAAGCACTTTTCAAACTACTGTTTCTGTGCTGTCTCTCAGGCCATTATTTATTCTAGCTCTTTAAGAGCAGGTGGTTTTTGAGGGCGCCTGGGTGGCTCAGTGGGTTGAGGCCTCTGCCTTCGGCTCAGGTCATGATCTCGGGGTCCTGGGATCGAGTCCCGCGTCGGGCTCTCTGCTCAGCGGGGAGCCTGCTTCTCTCTCTCTCTGCCTGCCTCTCTGCCTACTTGTGATCTCTGTCTGTCAAATAAATAAATAAAATCTTTAAAAAAAAAAAAAAAAAAAAGAGCAGGTGGTTTTTGATTGCCTCTGGCTCTCCCAGAATTAAGCCCTGCTAATTTTAAAAGTACCTGGACTTAAGCCCTGCTGATTTTAAAAGCTCCTAAAGTTAATCCCCCCTGGTTTTCAAAGCCAGATGTTATTGGAAACTCATCACTCCACTGCCTAGAGTGCCTTGCATGGGGTCTGATCCTCTCTGCTTCCCTGGGCTTGTGGTGTCCCTCCTGTCTATGGTTAGTCTCACAGGGAGTTTGGTTCCCAGGTGTGACTCAGCCCCTCCTACCCTTTTCAGTGTAGCTTCCTCTCAACAGTTAACTGTGGAAGGTCTGTTCTGCCGGTTTTCAGGTGATTTTCAGAGCTGCACAGAGGTAGCTATTATCTTGATGTGCTTGTGAGACAAGATGAGGTCAGGATCCTCCTACTGCACCATCTTCTGACACCCCTGCTTCATGTATTTTAAAGCTCTATTATTTGGTACTTGCATCTTTAGGGTCATTATATACTCCTTGTTGAAATGATCCTTTTTTCATTCTGAAATTACCGTTTTCATCCCTGGCAATATTTTTTACTATGCAGTCTACTTTTATATTAGCATAGACCTTACAGTTTTCTCTTGATTAGCATTAGCATAATGTATCTTTTTCCATTCTTTTACTTTTAACCTATTTGTATCTTTATATTTAAAGTGGGTTTTTTGTAAGCAACATATAGTTGGTTCTATTTCTTTAACCAGTCTTACAGGTCTTAAAGTCTCTGCCATTTAATTGGCATGTTTAGACCAGGATTCAGCCATCTGCAGCTCATAGGCCAAATCCAGCCAACACCTGCCGTTGTAAATAAAGGTTTTTTTTAACGCAGCCAGGCCCATTCATCTACACATAATCTGTGACTACTATCATTGCAGTGTCAGAGTCTCCCAGCTCCTGGTTTAGACTGTTTACATTTAATGCAATTATTAATATGGTTGGATTTAAAACAACTGTGTTGTTACATGTTTTTTATTTGTCCCATCTGTTCTTTTTTTCATTTTTCTTTGTTGTGCCTTCTTTTGGATTAATTGGGTATTTTTCACAATTCTGTCTCATCTGTTGTTGGTTTGTTAGCTCTAACTCTCTTTTCATTATAGGGATTGCTCTTAGAACATTCAGAAAATAATCAGAGTGAATGACCCTGGAATTCTTGATTCTCTTACTCAGACTTTATCCACCAGATGTTACCTTTGTAACTTCTGTGAAATTAAGATGTCTATGCCATAGCCTTTTTTCCTTTTATTCTTTACAGAAAAGAAAGATAGGGTAGATAACTTTTTTTGCCTGTTGAGTAGCCAAGATAAATGTCTTATATGTGATTTAGATTGAGACCAGTACTGCATTTTTTTAGGAACACCCACCTGTAAGACATGTTATATTAATTATTTTGTGTCACTTTTTGAAATAGTGATTATTGAGATGCTCTAATATAAAGGTCCATGTCTTTGCAGGCAACAATTAATATTGTTTTTGACCGAGTTGGGAAAACTGATCCTGTCACAAGAGGCATCGAGATCACTGTGAATTATCTGGGGATCCAGTTTGATGTAAGAGTTGTACCAAGATCCTGGTTTGAGACATTTCAATTGTATCTGCTATAAATTACAATTGTTAAGATTCTAATTCCTTTCTTATTCTGCCTTTGTTCTTCCCACTCTCCCCTGTTTTTTGACATACTCATATGGCAGATTTGTGAAGGACATAAAACCATAAGTGATGGCTGGTACTTATTATCTTAGATGCTGATTATTTCTGTAGTTCCTCCTCTGCTTTTCTGTAGCCAACTACCCCTCCCCAGGTACTCCCCACCAAATATTGGATACTTCTTTCTGCGATACATGACATCATCAAATCCAAAACTCACCTTTGATTCCTCTAGTAGAAAATTAACTACCAATTAGTGTTCCATGTTAGAAGTGAAATTATGTCTGCTGTTAAAAAAAACTACCAATTAGTTAATGTGGACTTTGAGCTAAAGATGGTAACTGAAACTTGTGCAGTTTTAATCCTCTTTCTACCTGTTTTATAATACCACTATCATTAAACACACTCTTGTCCCAATTTTTTAATGTCTTCATTTATAGAATATGTTTTCTAAATCTATGTGTGTATATATGTATAAATGGCCAGTGATTCCAGCTGATTAGCACTTTGATGTGATAGTAAGACCAGAATCCTCTTAGTCCCTCTGAGGGCCATGTAACTATGCTGTCAATCTAGTGGCACACCACACGCTCCCCCCAGCCATCCGCCTCAGCTATACATGCTCCGAGTAACTGGATAAAATGAAAGTAAACCAGAGCAAACTGAGCTCCAGTCCTTGACGAACAACTCAGAGTACCCATTTTTTGATGATAGATCAACAGTGTAAACTTTTTCATGTGAGGGAGCATGGTTATCTTTCCTCCAAGTAGTTTATACATTATACCACAAAATAGGCTTCACTATTGCCACATGTGTTTTTTTCCTCTTTTAAAATTTTTACTAGGCTCAATTATTAGAAGTGTTCTTCCTCATCAGCACTTTCTGAGGCTTGTTGCTGTGGTGTCTATTTCATCTGTAATCCATCTGTATACGCCACACTTCAGAATTCTGAATAACATCTTTTAGATGTTAGTAATAACAGTTCCCCCACAGATAATTTTCAGACCCGAATCAAGCACAGGGTCCCAAAGCTGCCTTCCTACTTTGAAGCAAACCAAGAGGAGAAAAAGGTAATATCAAGTGAAGGGCAACTATTTCCTAGACCAATAGCTGAGATTATTTACATATTCTTCCATTATAAAAAGAAAATTTTCTTTAAGTTTTGGGTGATCAGGGGACTACATTCACAAATGTTAAAAAAATTTTAGCTACTATTTAATTTCCTTTTAATTTGTGCTTTTTAACACATGGAAGCTGTGTATTAGTTCCATCTGTGTTTCTTTGACTGGTGTTATTTTCATCACCACTGCACTTGCTTGCTGCCATCCTAAGTTTTAAGTCTGCTTATGAAGATATCCACTGCATTCTTCCTTTTTTAAAATCAGGCAGGGCCTAATGAAGTTCCCTCTCAGTCACATAGGAGATCAGAATGCATCAGAAGAATAGCATTCACATGTCTCTCAACAGAGATTTCACTCGTACTTTTCCTTCCTTTTATGGTGGCAGGTGAAGTTCTGGTCTCAGCACATTTCCTTCATTCTGGTTGGAATAATCATCGTCACATCTATCAGAGGTTTACTGATCACTCTTACCAAGGTAAGTTATAGCACGGAGTTTAAAGTATTATTTGCGACATTTCATGTGGCAACATGAGAAAATTTTACCTAATTAAGATTTCTGCCTTCGGAGAACTTAAACAGTCACAAATATTTAAAATACGTACAATAAAATTTTTTTAAAGTGAAACTGCTCAATAAAACGATGGTGATGGACTTATACAGCAGTCAGAAGAGTACATGTACGAAAGGTCACAGAATGAGTTCACGGCCTGTTTTGTTCACTGATATGGCACCAGAATCTAGGAGTAGAAACCGGCACATGGTAGGAGCTCCAGAGATACTTGGAATGGATGAACAAGATAGTTGTTTGATGTTAGAGTAACTTTGAGAGTCACTTATAAGGAGGACATGTAAGTAGGAGAAACAGAATGTCTGACTATTTTCTGATCAACATAGAAAGGTTTTATGGAGGCAGAAGGTAAGTTTTCTCTTGAAGAGGTATAAGGAACCCCAAGATCCAAGAGTTGTTTGAATGAAAGGAGTGTAGAGGTTAGGAAGAGAGAAGAGAAGGGCTCTCCAGGTATCTAGCACAATTTTGGAAAGAGCTCAGGAGGCTAGTAATAATTACAAGGGCTTGGGGTGGCCTAGAGTATCCGTTTGAATGTTTTATAGTGATCTGACAGTCATATGTATCACGTAGTTTCTGAAAAATTTGATAGCAGTTGGAATCCTTCCGGGTCATAATGTAATTCTTAAAACCACCAACCCTCCCTCTGGGGACACCGTAGCTGGATCCTTCGCTCTCAATCTGTCTCTCTTCTTAACAGCATTAATCATATCAGTTTTCTGTACTGGATTGCTAAGGGGAAGAGGCACTTCTCATTAAATGTTAACTGTTGCTACTTAACGTTCTTGACCCAAGAATCTAGCAGCACTGCCTAAGTTTTTCTCCCTTTCTTGACAGTTCTTTTATGCCATCTCTAGCAGTAAGTCCTCCAACGTCATTGTCCTGCTATTAGCACAGATAATGGTAAGTTTGATGACCCAGTTTTATCCTCACAACTGTAAAGTACCGGAAGTACTTCTCAGTATTTCAACAATTCCCTTTGGTCCCTCACTGTACTCAGAGTGACTTCCGGATTGACTTACAGGGGATGTACTTTGTCTCCTCCGTGCTACTGATCCGAATGAGCATGCCTCTGGAATACCGCACCATAATCACCGAAGTCCTCGGAGAGCTGCAGTTCAACTTCTATCACCGTTGGTTTGATGTGATCTTCCTGGTCAGTGCTCTCTCCAGCATACTGTTCCTCTATTTGGCTCACAAACAGGCACCAGAGAAGCATATGGCACCTTGAACTCATGCCTATTACAGACTGCTACAGGCCAGTGGTGTCAGAATTTGGATATAAGAGAAAAAATGGAGGGGACCAGGGCCTAATGTTTCTTAAACAAACTGCTGAGGTAGCATATTCTACTTCAGCTTATGCCTTCCTCCTCTGTGGATACTGTGATCATGAGTAGCATTAGCAAGAACATGAGAGCCTGAAGTAAACCAGCTAGCACTCAGCTGAGAGCATCCCACATAGGTCTGAGGCTGGTGCAACACAGGGAGGAAGGGGGTGGAAAAGAGCCAAGAAACTAGGTGGGGGGAATACACTGGAACTCTGGGATAAGGGGAAGTCTCAGGTAGCTGGGCCAAACACCCAGAATAACTGTTCAAGGCTCTCAGGGAGGAGGCTCCCAGAATTTCTGTTCAAGACTCACATGGCTTTCCCTTGAGATTGACTATCATTAAAATCAGATTGTAACCCTTTGGCCTTAGCTTCATTTTCTCAAGGATAGCTTGGTGCAGTGGGCTTGTGCAAGCTAACATGGTTGGCATCCCCATGCCAGACCCTGTCCCCTTAAAATAACCAGCGGGTTCTCTGTTCTTGTCTGGGGATGGGACAGTGTGCTACTGAAATAGATTCTACTGAGAGCGTTCAGGTATATTATCTTTACTGATCTCTTAAGTTAGTATTATTTGAGAGTGAATTACCGTACATTCAATTTGGTGACGATGTCTCATATTTTTTTTTCCTTTCCATCTGTCCCTCATGCTGTGGGGTAAAACCATGAATAACTCTTAAATGGAAAAAGTCATTTTCCTATCCTAGCCCCTACTTCCTCCATCTGTGAAAGGAAAATGCAGGAAAGTTTATAGAACATTGAGAAATGCAATTTAAAGAAATCCTGAGTTTTATTACCAGGAAGTCTCTAAGATCTTACTCCGAATTTTATTATGTTTTGGGTTTCTAGAGGTAAAATGAAGGTTAAAGTGTAAAAGCAAGTTTACCAAAAACAAAAGCACTATTAAGGTTTTATCAGCTAACAGAGAAGATTCCAGTATACTCTAAAGGCATTCTTAATGGCATCTATTTTAGCAACCACAGCATTCTTACAAAAGCATAGTTTTAATAGGCTTATCTGCTCAAAACTTTGTAGCAGCTCTCACATATACAGATTTATGAATCATCTTTAGTGCTCAGGGAGCCTATAAAATTAAGAGATAATCGTCATACAGAGAAATGTAGTGAAGCTGAAGCTTGAAAGAGATCACATGAAAAGAATCTGGTCCCTGCCTTAAGTTGACCATAAATAAGCCATCTATTGCAGTAGTCACCCCCGAGACAAATGACAACAGAAGACAGTCCCACATGATGAACCGGTTCCCAGAGGAGTTTCTCTCTAACAGAAACAGTAAATGGGTGGCAGCTCATTCTTCAGGAAAGGATTCCTACTAAATACCCAGAAACAGCTGTCGGTCAAAGCCTTTACTTGCTCTCATCACATCTCTGTATCTTCAGAATTGGAAGAAGAATGTGAGGCTGTACTGTACGCCTGTGCAAAAGAAAACAAAAGATCTGTAAGTGCGAGAGCGTGAATGGCAACAGTTGCATGACTTAAGGCAGGGAGTGGAGTCACTCACTAGAAGCCAGGTAACCTGAATTTTACACTTGGCTTTGTTTCCAGCTTGCTGTTTGACACTAACATTTCTTAATATCTGTATATCTTTTCTATAAAGCTAGCACAGGCCTATTATTGACTTGCTATGGAAATATAAAAATTTTTAAAGACACATAGAATGCTTTCTTTGTTAAGCAACCAAGAATGCAAGGTCAGTGGCTATGGTGTGTGCTGTGGTCTGAATGTATCTCCCCAAAATTCATATATTGAAATACTAATCCTAAGGTGAGGTGATGATATTAAGAGGTAAGACCTTTGGGAGGTGATTAGGTCATGAGGGCAGAGCCCTTGTGATTGGGATTAATGCCTTGTAAAGAACCACCCCCCCCTCCCTATCCCCTATGTGAGGACATAGCAGGAAATTGGCTGCCTATACCTTGAAGAGGGCCTTCCCAGACACCAAATTTGTCCTTCAGAAAAAGAAATGTGTGTTGTTCATAAGCCACCAGTCTATGGTATTTTATTATAGCACCCCAAACTAAGTGTGTATTCATTAATAAATAGTATTTATGACCAATCCGTAAAAATTAATGTAAATGGAATAGAATTTAATGGAAAGAAGAATGATATAAAATTTTTAGAGTCTTGGCTTTGCCATACAGTTCTATGAACATGGACAAAAATAGACTTACCAAGGATTTTAATACAAATACAGAGTAATGCTTATTCCTCCCTATTAATAAAACACAAATACCTACCAATTATCTTTAAAACCATGCATTTTATGCTTACCATTATTAACTAGGCACTGTTTGAAGCACTTTAATAATCTTAGTTAATAGGAAACAAACAGGGCTGCCAGAGAGGAGGTGGGTAGAGGGATGGAGTAACTCGGTAACAGGCATTAGGGAAGGCACTTAATGCGATGAGCACTGGGTGTTATACACAACTGATGAATCACTAAACTCTGCCTCTGAAACTAATACAATATGTTAATTGATTTTAAATTTAAAAAATTAAAAATTAGTAATTTTTAAAAATAGTCTTAGTTAATATAATCCTAATAATAATCCAACAAGTCGTCCTTGGCTTACAGGTAGGAAAAGTGAAGCAAGAGCAAATAAATCCATTTGCAAGGCTGTTAAGTGGCAGAACCAGAATTTATACATAGTCTGATTCAGGTTCTTCTGGTGGTTCCATTATAATTTTGATAAACTTTTATTTACTGATTTTTATCTGGGGAGTTACTGTCAACTCCATGCTATGAAAAAGCAGCTTGTCCTCCTACCACTTCCTCTACACCAAAATAATTTTACTTGTTACCTTTGTAATTTTCTAGTATTCTAGGAAATCTGTGGTAAACATAGATCTGAAGTGTACTTATTAAGGACTTTATCATTCCCTGATAGTTTACATCACTGAAAGAATTCTACCCTCACTCACTCGTTCTTTTGCCATGTGTGAGTCATGCTCTGGTTCTGCCGGTGTTTCTTCTTTGGAATCAGTGGGGGCATCCAGTGGATCAGCCATGGAGGAAACAATAGGGATTTTCTTAGCCTGGAAATATTCATAGGCCTTCTTTCCACAGACTAAGAATGTGACATTCTTCCCACTGCTCTGGATTCTTTCTACCACTTTCTCATAGGGTTCATCCACCACGTTCACTCCATTCACTTCGATGATGATATCCTCATCCTCCAGCCCTGCCAGCTCAGCGGGGCTGCCCTTCTGTACCTGTGAAAAGAGGTTCTCAATTACTACTTCCAAACGTGGATAAAGGAATGTTAGATTAGCTTCCCTTCAGAGGAGAGAGGAGCTTGAAAATGTATACTTAACCATGTTATTTCTCCCTGAGATATAGAAGAAAGGTGCTCTGATGCTTTTCTGCTTTTGAAAGCTCCAACTTCCATACTCAAATGAGTACCATGGGAAGAGGGCTCCAGAATGACAGCACTAGGAGACTCTGAACTCACCTCCTCCTACAGACACCAAATCTACACCTACATAAATAGCAATTCCTCCTGAAGAACTGAGGGCTGATTGAGCAGCTTCGGCACAAAAAAAAAAAAAAAAGGATCACAGAGAGGACAGCAGGAGAGATGGAGACAGTAATGATGAAACCCTCGCCCTTGACACTACAAACTGCAGTAGGGAGGGAGAGCACGGAGGAATCTGCACACAGATTCCCCAGACCTGGGGCACAGGGGGAAAAAAAGAGCAGTTTAAAGAGCAACGAGGCTATGAAGGGAACCATTTTATTAACCCTGGAGCATCCTCCAAATGGTAGGGAAACTGCTGAAGCTCTCCAGGTCACAGGTACTAGCAAATACCACTGTTTACATTCCCTCTGCACCTTGACAGTGTAAGACAGGCCCAGGGTCCAGGTGCTCTAGCCATTCTGCCACCACAGCAAACCCTGGACCCTAGCCCACACCAGCTCAAGGTGGGCCCATTATAGCACACACCAAGACACCCTCAGCTGTCTCACCAAAGCAGTCATGGCATAGGCACCCCAAGATCACCCCAGCCCATGCCTGCTTCAGCCATGCCACCAGAGCTGGCTCCACCCAAAGCCACTAGGTACACACAGTCTACACTGGGGACATTTTTACACAAGATTACTTCTTTAAGACAGGGAGAGGTAAAGGTTTGTCTAATTCATAGAAACAAACCAAAAGTGAGTCAAAATGAGACAGAGGAATATGCTCCAAATGAAAAAATAAGACAAAACCTAAGAACAGAACAAAACGGAGATAAGCAACAAACCTGAAAAAGAGTTCAGAGTCATGGTCATAAAGATGCTCACCAGACTTAAGAGTAAATGAATTCAGTGAGAACTTAAAGAAATAGAAAATATATTCTTTATCTCTGATTGGTTTTTATAATAACTGAAATTTTAAAAACACTAGAGGGAATCAGCAGATGATACAGAACAGATCAGTGATCTGGAAAAACAGTTAAGCACCCAAGCTGAACAACAAAAAGAAAAAAATTTTAATTGAGATTAGATTAAGGAATCTCTGGGACAACATCAAGCATGGTAACATTCATGTCATAAGGACCCTAGAAGGAGAAGAGGGAAAGGGACAGAAAGCTTATTTGAAGAAATAATTAAAAACTTCTCTAAACTGGGGAAGGAGACAGACGTCCAGGAGAATCCCAAGCAAGATGAGCCCTAATTTAAATGTCAAAGATATTAAAGATAGAGAATCCTAAAAGCAGCAAGAGGAACGCAACTAGCTACATACAAGGGAAATCTCATAAAGGCTGTCAACTGATTTTTCAGTAGAAACTTTGGGATTATATATATAATCCCACTCCCCCTTTGGCCTGCAAAGGGCTGAAAGGAAAAAACCTACATGCAAGAATGTTCTACCCAGCAAGATTATTTTCAGAATCAAAGGCAAGAGTTTCCCAGACAAAAGTTAAAGAAGTCAAAACCCCTAAATCAGCCTTACAAGAAATGTAGGGCCTCTCCAAGTGGAAAAGAAAGGCCATAACTAGAAGAAAATTATGAAAGGAAAAAATTTCACCAACAAAAGCAAAAATATAGTAAAGGTAGTAGAAACCTAGTATGAAGGTTGAAACACAAAAGTAGTAAAACCAATCATATCTTTTTAAAAAAGTAAGATTTGCAAAATAAAAATATGTAAAATAAGACATGCACTAAATGTGGAGGGAAAGGAATAAAAATGTATGGCTTTTAGAATGTATTTGAATTCGGGAAACCTGGGTGTCTCAGTTGGTTAAGCATCTGATTCTTGATTTTGGCTTAGGTTATGATCTTGGCTGTGAGATCAATCCCCCTGCATCAGGTTCCACACAGGGCATGGATCCTGCTTAGGATTCTGTCTCTCCCTCTGCCCC